AACTTGTCTTCAGTATCCTATGTTTTGTTGAGACGTTTAACAGCTTATGTTGCCTCTTTATTGCCTGTAATAATTTCTGTCTTTTTATTTCCTTGGCAGGAGAAATACTGAAAAATATTGGGGCACAAAAATTTGAACTTGTTAACTTCAGGGTGTGTCATCCTCTCATTGAAAGTGTAGGTTAAGTACATTTGGAAATAAAATCTGCTAAAGATCACTTAGGGACCATCATAGGCCCAATAAGTAACATCCCCCCCTCCCCCCTCATTTTTATGTTGACCATGAGGGCCTACCATATTTATACATAAATAAAAAGTAAAGTTTTCTTTACAGGCCATTGGCGTATCAGGCACATGCGGTTAGACACAAAGTTTTACAAACTAATCGGCACTTAATGGGTGATATGGTCATCACTACACCTGCCACTTTTACTTCCCATGACTTTACCTGATACCTGTTTAAGGCTGGGTCGACCTGAGAGCCAGTCATGTATAAAAAAAATAATCCGGCTCTATGCTGATTTAAACCCACAAATTTTGGATCTGCAGGCAAGCTTCTACCCACTACACCATGGCGGCTCCCATATATATATATATATATATATATATATCAAATTAAGCACTCCAACAAGGCTTAGCTACCCCTCAGCAGGCCATAATTCTCCTAGAAAATTTGTAAGAGTGCTGACCCCCTGCTACTGTGTGCATTTCTTCATGACCAAGCCAAGTAGCCAGAGGTATGGTGCACCTGCTCGACAAGTATAAAACTGGACAAAACACAAATTCAGCAATTTCCCTAGCATTGCAGGAAAAACTGTCCTAAGAAAATTTTGTGGGTCAAATAATTTGCACATGACACTGATATATGAATTGCAACAATAACATCCATTGGATTTTATTATTGACATGCCTGAGAAAGTCTTTTCTCACAGACAGGAGGTCTTTAAGATGTATCCTAAAGGCTGGGGGAGGAAAACCACTTACCCTACCTAATTACCTGATTAAACAAAATTTTGAGGCAGCCCTCAGAGATTTCTACGGCCCACCATTGAACCGCTGCCCATGGGTTCAAGAACACTGGTTTACACGGGTGGATCAGTCACCCGAGGCAAGCAAAGTACACAGGCATTCACTGTGCATGCAAAGGGAAAACCCTCAAGTGGGTGGCGCCTTTGCTGTTACAGCTAGCAGCCTCACAGAGAAGACCCTGGCTGTAACAAGGTGGAAATAGGAGTGCAAGCTAGAGCATTTAGGCTTGAACGTCTCACTAAGGGTACAAGGCGCCAGAATCAACAACACGGAATGGGTGTGACTAGTGGTTTTACACTCTTGAAGTTATTAGCAAAAGCATCTGTGGATGTCTCTAGAATACTGTGATGGTCGACATCATCAAATGCCTTGCCGAACGGTGTGGGTGGTCATGCTTCTCCACAATCGGCGATCCTCACCTGTGTGTATCAGTTTGTGAGTTGACCCCTCCCCCTCCGCATGCCATGAGACAAAATGCTGTCAAGAATCTTCTCATGCTGTCTTCCTCTGTCTCTCTTTCCACAGACTTTTCCAGTGGTCTTCACATGTTCCATTTTCCCTCTTCTCATAACATGACCAAAAAATGATGACTGTCTCTTTCTGATGTTTGTGATAAGTTGTCTTTGAGCACTCGCCTCTTTCAAAACATCTGGGTTGCTCTTCTTAGCTGTAAAGAGAATTCTAAGGATTCTTCTGTCAAACTGAGGCCTCCAGATATTGTTCGGCCTGTTTATTAATTGTCCAGGCTTCACAGCCGTAGGTTAAAACTGGGGTCTACTATGATGATAGTTAACTCAGACACATGTCCAGTTTATATACTGTACTTAACAATGGTTAAGTTGCAATCGCACTTTGTAGAGCTGGGTTTGATCCCAGCTGCGGACGGTTTTGTCTTACGTTGGTTTCGACAGTTGTACCAAGAGATGACCGCTCAGAAGCAATGGCAAACTACTGAATGTAAAATTAGCCTAGAAAAACCACAATAGCCACAAAATGCTGGGGTTGGTTGTGCAACGTCCTGTAAAGGATACGCAGCTAACTTTTTTTTTTCAACTTAACAATCGCTAGAGGCAAGTAGATTCTTCTTTTTCTCAGCATTCATCGATAAAGTTCTGGTTGTTCGTCCACTTCTGAACTGCCACCTGAACAGTCAGACTTGTGAAGAGTCATAATCACTCTTGAGCCGGGAATGCAGAGACTGACCAGCAGATGCCACAGAGGTGTAAATTCAGCAATTAATTCAAGATTTTGCTTGCTCAGAGGATTTGATCATTTACACAGACGGTTCAGTGTCAAGAGGCAAAAGAGGTGCTTGGAGCTTCTTAGCAAAAGTTAATGGTCGACGTTTGGTGCAGGAGAGCTTAGCATATGATACCACAACATCCAGCTTAAGAATGGAGGTGGAGGCGGTCATTGCAGCTTTCCGCTGGCTAGAGAACACAACACACACACACATCGTGATTGTAACTGACTCAGAAAGCATGCTGAGGAAGATCAAAACAGGTGTGCTTCGTGAAGAGTGGCATGCTTTGCTGCGGAGGACACGGGTGAGGAGTATTGTCTTGATTTTTTCACCAGGGAACGCCGATGTGTTGAGAAATGAACAGGTGGACAGACTGGCTGGCTCTGCACAGCTTGGTGGAATAATGATACATGATAAGGCAGATGTGGTTAGTGCCTTGTGGAAGAGCGAGTACAGTTCAGAGGAGCAGATAGATCACCACAGTCTGGTGATATTGATGAAGCGGGGAGTGACGAGAGGTTCTGGCAGATGCTCGATGCTCAGAGGAAAGGCAAGATTGACGTTTAATCAGAATGCTACTGGCACCATTAGTATTGAAACTCTTCGCTGGCTGCTGAAGATGGGGACGGAGCGCTTATGGAAATGCCCCAAGTGCTGTGATGTCAGTTCTTGAATCAAATCAAATAAAATCAAACCACCTTTGAACTCTCTCTTGATCCAGAACTTGATTCTTGCGATGTGCATCTCTGTTTTTACAGATCTGGCGTACTCATATGCAGATTGTTGGTTTCTTGCCTCTCATGCAAAATTAACAGCGTAGTGTCGACCAGTTCATCTGGTAATTGTCCTCCTCCACTCCTCGGCGAAAATATTCAAAGAACGCTAACTATCAAGACTTCTCAATCGATACATACTATTTTATGTTTTCATTTCCCGTCCTTTTTAGGATGACATTTTTCGTTATTTGAAACCCTCGAAATATGGCCTAATGGCTGAACGCGGTTTCTGGGACCTCTCCACGGTGATCCTCATCCACATGGTGGCACATTGTGTCATCGGGTGTTTATCGCTTGTGTGATGTCCTGGTGGGGTAGAAAGCCAGTCAAAATCTGCTTTAGATCAGCGAAGACAGCAGTTTAAAACAGAAATACCGTGAAGGAAGAAACAACAAATTTGAATGCAGGTGTATTTAGAAACAAATGCTATCGGCAAGGCTGCAGTGTATTCTCAACGTTCGCTTACATCAAGAAACATACAGGAGCAACCTTCAAGTGATTTGAGGGGACAGTTAACTAAACTTCCTAGAAATATAATGAAAATAATGAAAAATTCCTCCAAACAGTTTCATTCATGGCATTAAAGACAAATGAACATAAAATTTGCACTGTTTTCCCCCTTCTTTTCCTAAATATTCAAACCGCTTTGAGGGTAGGAGGTGTGCCGCAACACATTTTTTTTTAGCCTGACAAGGGTGCCGCAGCGAACAAGGTTTGAGAAACGCTACTCTAAGACATCTTATGCAGGAGAGTTTCATCTCTGAAATAATATCGTAATAATCTAAACGCTGTCCACAAAAACAGAGCTAGTACATCAGTAGATCCAGCCCACTATGGTATCCCAGGATATAGACAGGCCGAAGCGCTCAAGAATGCTACAGGACTTTATCTATCTAGCTTTATCTGTCTCAGTTTTAAAAGCCAAAGACGCTCTGACAACTTTCTACTAATTTTAACTGGAGCGTAGCCCACACGTATTGCATATTTTGAGAAGTTTAAAACAAAAATTAATTACAGTAGGTATATTTCAAAACACAAATTATACTCGAACAGTTTGTGACAACTTGCAAGATTTGCAGAAAGAGGGCCAGGAAAAATCAAGGGGGTTAATACTTTCATGAATTCGCCCCAGACATAAGATAGGATAGAGCACGCACCTGATCCTTAATTCTGTTAATCGCGTAGAATAACGAATCATGATAGCATATGCTTAACGACATGACACCTGATGATATTTCCATAGAGACGGGCGCTGAGCGTGTTTTTTTTTTTTTTTAAATCTAAAAAGAGGCGTAAAGCCCCCCAAAAATTGGGATCCTAGTGAGGGACGTTTAACCCCACTAGGGTCACAGAACATATGATGACACAAAGTGTCACCATTAGGATGAGACGAGACGCTAACACCCCCCCCCCTTTTTTTTTTTTTCGCCCAGGGCCGCAAGTCCAAGATGTAATGTTATATTAGGGCCCTGACCTGAAGTCTATCCGGGTGGGACTTTAGTATCAAAAAGTATTGTGTCCTATTTCAGGACGGGTTTGTGTTGGGAACCTATGTATAGACTGACTATATGCCTGAGCTTGCAGTATGCATGTATGTGTGGTGACCCCGGTGACCTCAACATGGCTTCCAAGATGTAAACATTGCAAGAAAGCCCTTCTCATACATTAATTTGACAGGCGCCGGTGGGCTCGCCACGATAAGTCTGGGTGCTTGATACTTTTAGGTGTGAATAAACAACACTTGTCTTAAGAAAGTGTATTTCACAAATACTCATATTATCAAGTTCACTGCCCATATCTTGGCGGTTCGTCTGCTGTCGAATTGGCTCGTCTGCCACTGCAACTGTCGGCGGTTGTCGGACAGGACAAGCAACGCAACAATTGTATGTATGCTGAGATGGTTCTGTAGTTGATGCAGAAGCCTGTAATAATATCAAGTGAACTATATTGGACATGACAGGTAATGTGCGGCGAGTTTATATAAAATATTGAGAAAGATAACTTAAGTAACTATCTGCAAATGCTTTGAGTCGTTGACCTACTTTTAGGAACACATAATCTAGTTTGACAATATCATCATGTGGCTGTACATTGGTGCAAAAAGGCAACCGAAAAATAGTTTTCACTGACAGCAATATTAGGTTAGTTGCATATCCTTTACAGTGCGTATGCTTTTACAGAACCAACCCCTCGGCAAATTTACGTCCAGTAGTTTGCCATTGCTTGCTGGACGGTCGGCTTTCTTGATACCACTATCGAAACCAACGCAAGGCGCATGGCCCGCAGCTGGGATCCAACCTGGCATTGCGAGACAGCAATATAAACACAAAAAAGACATACAGAAAATGCCATAGCTTTACAACTGTGTATAAACTCATAATATGTTTCATTTTTGCACCAGTTTGAGTTAAGAACAATCTCCAAGAATAAAAAACAAACAACTATGTAATCTTGTTGTACATCATCATAATGTGGCTGTAGATTAATGCACACAAAAAAAGTTACAAATTATTTTTGGGCTATCCTCCGAATAGCGGGCACAAAAGATGGCGGCCGCAAAAACATCCTAACAGACCCTCAGTCATGTGTCAATTGCGCACTTCCGGCGATATATTTGCGGTTTTCCAGCGACTACCGCCACCGCCAACTACTTCCTTTTGCTAATTCTAGTTTTTCAAAACATGTTCTTAGAAATTAATTTTCCTATTAAATTAAAGTGATTATAACGAGAGCCAGTATAGCGGCTTAGGCAAAACAAGATGGATTCTCACAAGGATTGATTGGTGATATGTCTGAAATGAGTTAAGACCTTTGAACTGGCCAGAGAGTGTCTCGCTACTACCTCACTGCAGATCACATGTAAGATCAAATATACTTGATGTTTTTTAAAGTTTTACCACTTAGGATTTGCAGTGCACATCCAAGAAACCATGTTTAACTGTTTAGCCATATGGTAGAGTTATATTGGGGCACCACAAAGCTGTTTCCAGGTAACCTGTGGTTCATTGTAGGTGGGTTTTGCATCATGTGTGCCAGGCAATGGCTATCCTTATATATGTGCATTTAATTCTGTCTTTATGTTCCAATCAACATGTGTACTAGTGAACATCTCCTATGTCATTTTGTGCAGGTACAGAAGAGAAATACCCTCTTCATAAAGCAGCAAGAGAAGGCCGCCTTGAAGACCTTAGGATATTGCTAGCATCTGGCAGATATGATGCCAATAAAGGAACCTTTGAATTGGTGCGGCCGCTACATGAAGCTTGCCTGGCAGGTCACTTTGACTGTGCTGCCCTCCTCATTCACTATGGAGCAAATGTATGGCAGTTGTTTTATTTGTTTCAAGTAATCTGCACATTCTTTTTTTTTTCAGTTTTTATCATTTGTAAGTTTTCAGCAAAGCTTCTTCCTTCTTTTGCCTTCTATCCGCAGTGGGGCATAGGCCCTCAACCAACTCACTCCAGGTCATTCTATTCTTCAGTATGGCATGCAGCTCTCCCTTTGTCCTCCCTGTCTTTTTAACTTCACCCTCTAGCTCCTTTATCCCTGTATTTTTTTTGTCTTCCTTAATTTGTGTGAGTTCCAATGCAAAGACATTCTAGTTATAATGTTCTCAGGTTTTCTCATTGTGTGTCCTTTCCAATGTCATCGTCTTTTCCTCAACTCTTGGTTCACTGGAACTTGTTTAGTTCTCTCCCAATGCTCTACATTAGTGAAACTCATACCATTTAATTCCCTGTATTCTGTGCAGTCGCCAGGTAATGGCATCCGTATTGAGTTCTGGAGGTCCCGGGTTCAGGCCCCAGTGAAGGCTATAATTTTTGAAGTGGATTTCTAGTAATTTTCCTTGGTCTCTGCGTTGTAAGATCGAAAGCCCGCGTTTATTGTTGCGCACTTTAAAAAAATCTCTTGGCAGTTGGAAATTTAAAAGAGTTGCCTAACAGCGCTGCCCGGGCAAAATTTGGAGTTTAAAATCTACCCACAGTATTTCAGGATCCACGCCGGTGTTACGGAGTTTATGTACTGCACTGAGATTATTCGGATTCAGACTTGAGTTAGAAGTAGAATGGAGCACTTATAGGTCACTACTCCTGTGCCATAATGGTGATCCATTGTTTAAACCTCAAACCAGTTAGTGACAGTTTGTAATTTTTTTAGTAATTGCCCTAGTTGTTCTCCATGTTTTTGCTCCAGTCAACAGTACTGATTTAATATTAGAGTTCAAAATTTTAAGTTTATTATAGTTTAAATTCCTGCTTTGAGAATAACTAAATTTGTGGAGTTTAGCCGTGTCGAAAATGTAGACATTAATAAAGACACAAAACAAGAATGTTTGGAACTATCTATAGTAAACAACTTAGAATAAAAGTGTTCAGCTTTGTCTGACAAGAATCCTTTTATTTACTTTCAGTAAACATTAGATGTAAAGGTTAGTTGCGTATCCTTTACAGGACGTTGCAGAACCAACCCCAACAGCCACGGTCTGTTGTGTGGTTTTTCTAGGCAAATTTACGTCCAGTAGTTTGCCGTTGCTTTCTGGACGGTCGGCTTTCTTGATACCACTGTCAAAACCAACGCAAGGCGCATGGCCCGCAGCTTCCCATTGTCATGATGTACTTCAGTTTTATCCTTCTCCTTCTCATCACAGCAGCATGTAAACACCATTAAATATCAAGTAAACCTTTAGTCAGAGGTGAGAAAAAGACGCTGGCGCTGGATAGAACACACACTGAGAAAACAGGAGAACAGCATAACCAGAATGTCTTTGCATTGGAACCCACAGTGGCGTAGGAATAAAGGAAGGGCAAAAACACTTGAGAAGAGAGCTGGAGAATGAAGTTAGAAAGATGGGAAGGACATAGGAGAGCTCCATGCAATGGCGAAGGATAGAACGACTTGGCGTGAGTTGGTTGAGAGCCTATGCTCCATTGGGGGATAGAAAGGCAGAAGAAGAAGAAGAAGAAGAAACCTTTAGTCAGCATCTATGAAGTAAGTGTTGTGAATGCATCGGCTGGATCTGCACCACTGGATGGTGAACTGATACATGACTAGGAAAATGTGGTCAAGGCCCTTTGGGAACTTGTAATAAAGTCAGAAAAAGAAACAAGATTGTTATGGCCTAGTGAGAATGATGCACCTGGGTGGAACTAGAGGGTCTGGCACTACACTCAGAAGAAAGACAAGATGGACATGTAACCAGATTACAACCGGTACAGTTAGTATTGTAACTCTGCGCTGGCTGCTGAAGATGAGGATGGAGCACACATAGGAATGCCCCGAGAGCTGTGATGTCAATTCTTGACTCAACTCAACTCAGCTCAACTGTTATGAACGCAGTTTCATAATGCTGACAAGCATGTTCAGATTTTGCTGCAGGCAGTTTAGAGGCAGATCAATTTCTGCTGATTTTGATGGTTGGATGAGCATCAACTGGTCAGTGAGCAATGGCAAACTACTAAATGCAAAACTGTCTAGTGAAAACACACATCAACCAATGTTGAGGTTGGTTCGCCGTGTCCTATGGAGCATATGCAACTAGCATAACTTCAAAGCCTCATGTCATGGAGATGACTTTACCTGTAATATCTTCTACTTCTTCTTCAGCATTCAGAGCCCTTGAGGTTAATTGCTGCAGATATCACCCGCTTCCATTCATCTCTGTGGATGGCCTTCACTTTCCAGTTGGTGACAACAAGTGTTTACAGGTCTGTCTTGGTCTGCCTCGTGGTCTAAGACCATTCATCTCCCTTGTGTATACAGTTTTTACTTCTCTGTCATCTGACATTCTTTTGATATGCCCCAACCATTTCAGTCTATTAGCTCTCATAATGCCAGTGATCAGTGCCGATTTAAAAAGATAAGGAATTTTGTTATTTCTTCTCACTCTCCATTCCCTGCTGTTTGCATCTTTTATGGGTCCAAAGATTCGTCGTAAGACTCTGTTTTCGAAAACCTGAAAAAAGGCTTCATCTCTTTTAGTTGTGCTCCAGTTTCAAAGCCATATAAAACGACTGGTCTTATCAACATTTTATATATTTTGATCTTGGTGTTGTGAGACAGACACTTTGACTTTAGCGGATGTTGAAGGCCATAGTATACTTTATTACCTGTAATATCTGAGACTGTAATTTCAGCTTTTGTTTTCAACATTAACCAGCCACTGGGTAATGTAACTGTTTCTGTTTTAAGATTTTCTAGTTGAAACTTGTCTATGTAGTTCCATCACCTAGGCTACTGAGTTGATTGCATGGTGCGGCACTGTGAGCTGTGGGTTTTCACTTGAAATGCTTATCGGCTGTGCTCAGCGAGCTTTTATGTTGTGAACTGCAGATTCAGAAATTCGCAAATGGCCTATTGCGACAGAACTGGTGGTGCTTTATGCTATTGAGTGCGTGTAAAACTACTGATTTGATGTAATTGCTTGCATTGACAGTGAACTGCATTTTAAGTGTCAGATTGGTTGTGTTGGCACTTCTGATGGCTGTCTTATGTATTTAATGCATATGTAAGCTACTGGATTTGCTAAGACTGCAGTTATGTCAACATTTTGACAAGGGACAATGGTGGACATTCTATGTAATTTTCATTGGCCCAGGAACGGAGCAACTATGAGGTGATACATTTGCTGTGATGTTAGAGCTGTGATTATCTGAGTACCTGATAATTGTCCATATTTGAATTTTAAAAAAAAACAACTAAATAACAGGACTGTGGGACAAAAAGAATTAAACTGATATTTTTGTTGTAATGAATTTATGTAGCTGTCTACTATAGGAGGTCGGCGTCTGTGGCTTAGGCATTGCGAACATGCTTCTTAATGCCAGGGTGCCGGGTTCGATCCCAGCTGTGGACGATTTGTCTTGCATTGGTTTTGACATTGGCCCCGAGAGCTGACCATTCAGAAAGCAGTGGCAAACTACTGAATGTAAAATTACCTAGAAAAACCACAACAGCAAAAGAAAATGCTGGGGTTGGCTCTGCAACGTCCTGTAAAGGATACGCAACTATCTACTATAGAAGAGAGTCATCAGAGTATTCTGTCTGTGGATACCCAGTGAAGGTATAGTTATTCTGTCTGTGGATACCCAGTGAAGGTATAGTTATTCTGTCTGTGGATACCTAGAGAAGGTATAGTTTTTCTGTCTGTGGATACCCAGAGAAGGTATAGTTATTCTGTCTGTGGATACCCAGAGAAGGTATAGTTATTCTGTATGTGGATACCCAGAGAAGGTATAGTTGGCTTAGTCTTGCATACCAGTGAAGGTATAGTTATTCTGTATGTGGATACCCAGAGAAGGTATAGTTATTCTGTCTCTGGATACCCAGTGAAGGTATAGTTATTCTATCTGTTGATACCAAGTGAAGGTATAGTTATTCTGTCTGTGGATACCCAGTGAAGGTATAATTATTCTGTCTGTTGATACCAAGTGAAGGTATAATTATGTCTGTTGATACCATGTGAAGGTATAGTTATTCTGTCTGTGGATACATAGTAAAGGTAAAGGTATTCTGTCTGTTGATACCCAGTGAAGGTATAGTTATTCTGTCTATAGATACCCAGTGAAGGTATAGTTTTTCTGTCTATAGATACCCAGTGAAGGTATAGTTATTCTGTCTATAGATACCCAGTGAAGGTATAGTTATTCTGTCTATAGATACCCAGTGAAGGTATAGTTTTTCTGTCTATAGATACTCAGTGAAGGTATAGTGAAGGTGCAGGTATTGAAAGAATGAAACTAACACTGAGAAGCAAAACAGGGATGGAGGAGAAGTAAAAAAGAGTGAGTGAGTTAATCTTGTAGTTCATTATCATGTAGCAGGTGCTTTGCAATATGTAACTTGTCGTGGTCTGCTTGGAAAAAAACTAGGTCTCTCACAATCTCTCCTGCCACTTGCACTGTACTACTGAAGGTGCCCATCTTCCTGCTGGTCAGCCCTGCACCTCTTTCCTGGTACCATACCTTCTGCTCTTATTCTGTCCACACTGCCACTGCACTTGATATTGCCAAAATACTGCATTTTCGGAGACAAGATGCCATTTACTAGCCAATCTTCCTTGATATTCAGATATTTCAGGATGGATGTTAACTTATATCCTAACCATCACAGATGTGTTTTCTTACTTAAATTCGGATTGAGGATCTTAAAGAAATATGTCTTCAGCATTGGCAACTTTTGATGTATTTAACCTTCTTGAAAGTATTGATTTCATGACATTTTTCATTGATTATTTGCTGCACAGTATTTTGGAACCAAAAGAATTCATTGGTATAGTATTTTTATCAAACATTCAGGTGAACTTGGCGAATATAGATGGAGCCACTGCTCTGTGTGATGCCTGCTGTAGTGGAAATGTACGGTGTGTTCAGCTGTTGCTGGAGCATGGTGCTCAAGTTAATCCACCATTTCTTTTGACCAGCCCATTGCATGAAGCAGTGTTTAGAGGTCACTTGCTACATGTTGTTATAACTTTGTTGTCGTTTTAACTGTAAAGGCTTTCATAGTAGAAAATATTTTTATATACATAACGATGACAACCACATCCATAGAATTTAGCATTATAAATGAGTATTTATGAGTATTTAACTATAAACTGTGGCAGTAAGTTATGGTGGTTTGTCAACCTCTAAACTTTTGTTGCAGAACCTGAGTGTTGCGTGCAAATTCATTTTACAGATCTGACTTATTTGTATGCAGACTGTTGGTTCCTTGCCTCTCAAGTAGATAGCACTCTGACTTCAAAGGCAGCCCCCAGCTAGCTAGCCAGTTCTTAGGGCATACTTTTTGGGGCGGCAGTATGTCTGTTCTTGTTTCTCCCAAAATAGGGCTCTGAAACCCACACAGGGTATTTGGGGAATATAGTAAGGTAGCAGATAACAGACAAAAACTGTGTGCACAAAAGAGTTGAATGTGACTAGACAACAAGGGAGAACAAGAAGATAATAGTGAAATAATATACTTGCAGATGTACAAACAATTGGCATCACCAACTGGAAAGTGAAGGCCGATGACAGAGAGGAATTCAGGCAAGGTGATATCCACAATAATGAACCTCAAAGGCTCAGAATGACAAAAAAAGGAAGAAGAATTGAAAATTTTGCAGACAGGCTGCTTAAATCTTCTCATCCCAAGAAGCACAAAACCCAGGCATGTCCGATTTGTTCCTAAGCCCCATAAATATTCCTTTCCCCACTTGCTATTTCTTGTTTTGTTTTGTTAGTTGCGTATCCTTTACAGGACGTTGCAGAACCAACCCCAGCAGCCTCTGGCTACTGTGTGGTTTCTCTAGGAAAATTTACGTCCAGTAGTTTGCCATTGCTTTCTGGGCTGTCGGCCCACTGATACCACTGTCGAAACCAACGCAAGGCGCATGGCCCACAGCTGGTATCGAACCCGGCATCCCGGCATTACGAAGCGTTCGCATCGACTTAGCCACAGAGCCAACCCACTTGCTTTACATACACTTAACATAACCCTTGACCCATTAGGGTCATGGAGGTGTACTGATGGAAGCACTAGCACATCCTGGTTGGTCTAGCCTAAAACGTGAACTAGTGGAAGTCAAGGAGGCTGGTATTGTAATGACCATATCACCAGTTACTCAATGGGAGTAGGGGGTTAGCATCCTATCCCAGTTATTCCTGAAGTCATTAAAAAGAGACCTTTACTTTCTAAATACTTCAGTGCTTCAAGACATTAAAAAAAAAAACATAGGACAGTATACAAACAATATAACTGTTTAAGGGGGTGAACAGGGTTTCTGGAATTTGCCCCAGTTCAGTTTGCAGCCACAAAATGGTGTTTTGAGTCACTGAGTTCAAACCCCGAGGGTGGAATCCCAGAGGAAAGAAAAAGCATGAAAAATGCTCATATGCTTTTGTTTTGTACATGGTTTTATTCTATTTAAAACAAATTACTAGTACACCGCAGACGTTTCTTGCAAGGTCTGAACAATTTTTGGTCAAACAGAAGTAAATGATGTACATAGGGTGATTCGTCTGAATTCATTATGGCTGTCATTGTTCAGTGATTCCCCTATTGTTTAATCTATTTTTCCAGATCACTGGGAATGTTTGAAACTGCTGCTGAAATATGGAGCGAACATGAATAAAAGCGACTGTCACTTTGGCACTCCACTTCACATTGCCGCCTGTAAAGGTAACCCAATTCTTAGTCCTTGGTTGTCCCTATGTCGTTACTTTGACCACCTCCAAATTTGACTCAGATAAGTGTTTGAGGTTTGAACAATGGATCAACATCATGGCACACAGGTAGTAACCCATAAGTGCTCCATTCTTCTTCAAGTTTGAGTCCGAAGAAGCACAGTGCACAGGCTTTGTAGCATTGGGGAGGATCCTGAAATACTTAAGGTAGATTTTAAACTCCAAATTTTTGCCGTTAGACTACTCTTTTTGATTTGCTACTGCCAAGGGATTTTTTACATGCACAACAATGCACACGGGCGTCCGATCTTACTACCCAGAGACCAGGGGGAATTACTAGAAGTCAAAGTCTACATGAAAAAATCCCAGCCCTTCCAGGATTGAACCCGTAACCTCTAGCACTCGAGGTGGACACCATGCCTCAAGACCTCAAGGCTCTTAACTCAGATAAGTGTAAGGTTCAGTAATGTTCCTGAAGAATCTAGAACTAAATGGAAACTTATTTTAAGCAAAAGAAGAAAGCACTTGTTAGCGAGGCCAAGGAAGGTAACACCTACTTTGTATGTTGTAAGAAAACAACTAAAGAAAAGGGCATGAGGTGGACTGGCTTGAATCTGGCCACATTGCACAGGGAACAGCTGCCAAATCTATCAAAAATTAGCCACGTCTGAAAGTGGCTTGAATTAGGGCCATTGCTCCATTGAAAGATAAAAGGCAACACAAGAAGTATAGGGTTTATTTTCACTAATAGTTTTTGTAAAGATACTGTCTGTCAGTTAATTAAGTTAAGTAAAGTAAAGATCCCTTTCCACGCCTTTAGGCGTATCGGGCATATGGAAAGAACGCCCATATTTTTACAGACCATCCATCACTCAGTGGGTAATGTTGTCAGTTAATTAGCGAGACCAAATTCCTCTTCTTCTGCATTCCCCCTTAAAAGGACAATTTGCATGTTGTTTTGTGGTTTGCAGCACAACACATTAGATTCCAGCAAACTCTTAATTAGGCAGCTTTTATGAACTACTTATTAGGGGACAGTGGGTCTTTTATTTTTTTCCCTACAGAATGGTGCCCTAGAAACAGAATGGAGGAGACTTATTATTATGGTGAAAACAGAAATGCCTTCCATGAAGCAAAGCACATCATTTAAACAGACAGCATTTATCTATGATCTGGCAAAATTACAACACTTCTCAGGCAGCAGATAAATAGTTACCCAGCATTTTGTTTAGCTAGTGAGAGGTGTGTGGTTACATATGCAGCTTGGAGCAAAGTGCAAACAATAAACTGTTTTAAACATCAAAAAAGTGCTATTGGGACAATTTAATCAAAAAGGCATTTTATAGGGGATCAGTGTTTATTTTATGCATTCAGTTGGTATTTGTGATTCAAAACTAGCAAGGAGATGATTAAATATGAAGCTAGTCTGAAATGTCAGATTTATGTCTGTAATGATGAACTCATTGCCAACATCTGAGAACAGATACATGAAGATCAGTGTCTGAAGTTTGGAGTATGACTGTGAGGAGAATTTGATATTAACCAGAGTCATTCAATAAAATGTAAACGGACAGGCCTGGCCAGACACAAGTTGCTTCCCAGCTTGCCACATTGTTTGATGATCAAAGGCGTGCATGAGTTGAGTATGCACAAACATGCCTGACAAGTTTTAGTGATGTCTTAGGCATTCTCAGCATGTTTTTTGATCATCATTAGAATATGTCTTTTGGCATTTTATATAGCATCCAATATTTTTTTTTTTTTTTTTAATCTCTGGATATTTGTATTTTTTCTTAGATTATTGAAAATAGCAAGTTTCCTGTTCTCATTGCTCATCTTAGTATCAGTTCTATTTATCAGCTTTACGACTGACAAAGATTAGTTTAGACAGGACATGTGGGGGTACAAGGAAATGAACAAGCTGATAGACTTGCAGGTAAGGCTACTGTGAAAGCCGGACAAGCAATGGACCAAGCTGATATACTGAATGCTGTAAGAGAGTTAGGACATTTGCGTGAACCAACTGAGAATTGTGAATCTGCAACCATGGTCAGATTACAAGGACAGCAAGTTAAACGGGTTGTCGCCAAACAAGAACACTATGTGGGTAGCCAAAGGAGAAGAATAAACCAACACAGGACTGGTGCCGTCAGGCGCTACACATGGCAGGATTAACTGAGGAGGGGATCCGAACACTCATGGACTGAGTGGTTCCACGTGCAATTAGGATAATCTGTCGACCAACTATAACTATTTCTGGCTTGTTTTGGTTTTTTTGCTTCATTCTCTCCAGGTCATAGAAATAGTGCTGCCATACTTCTCAGGCTGGGAGCCAGCCCAAACATCCCACACATTCATCAGACACCTCTACATGAAGCTGCCAGGAGCCAGGACTTAGAGTTTCTGGAACTTCTCCTGGCACACGGTGCAAACGTGTATTCTTGTAACAACAGGGGTTTGACAGCCAGGCAGCTAGTGCCGAGCAGCACGTCTCCCTGCAAGGTTTTACTCCATGAATGGGAAAGTGAGTAATCCATCTTCTTTTTCTCCTCCTCTTCCTTTTTTTTCTTCTTTTATTTCTTCTTCTGCTGTTGTTGCTCCTTCTCCTCTTCTTCTTCCTCCTTCATTTTCTGTTTTACTGCTTTGTGTGTTGAGGGATCTATAAGGACCTGATTCTTGCTCTTTGATTATAGACTGTCCCGTGTGGGTGCCGGGACCTGTTGTGGGGGGAACCCACAGGTCCCTCCCCCCCCCCCCCCCCCCCCCCCCCCCTGTTTTCCCAACAAGCTTGTAGTATGAAGTCAGAGTGTATCTTTGTCTACATACAAATAAGCCAGATCTGTAAAACAGATGCGCAAGCACCGCTCAGCTTCTGGAACAAGACCAAAGTCCAGAAGTGGGTGAACAGCAAAAACTTTCTGCTGGAGATTACAGCCGGTGAACACGAAGAAGAAGATTATAGACATTTAATATTTTTAAAATAGTTTCTCCTGTATTATTGATTGAGGAAGGAAAAGTGCAGGCGATCAGTTTCTTTGATTGTAACAAAGTTATATGCACAAGGGACCAAATCGTAAAATCTGCTGAGTTTATCTTGGAAAGATGAGAACAAGAATTGCTATGACAATAGAAGCCTTGTACATGATGCAGAGCATGCTAATCTATAACGAGTTAAGTGAGAAAAAAGATCATTTAACCCTGTTGCCCCACAAACACTAACAAAATTGGTCATCACTTCATGGGAATTCTGGAAAGAAAAAAAACACTTATTTAAAAAAATGTTTACACAGGTTTATCTGTCTTCATTTTGTAAATTTTTGAAAAGAAATTTCTACAGATGTATAAAAGGAGTAATTTTAAAAAATATTATACAAATGGAAAGATGCAATAAATAGAATACATTCTACAAGGACTAGAAAAAACAAACAATAAACAATTCTGTTCCAGAATATTTCAGCTTCTGAGACAGGATGCTGTTTATTAGCCAATCTTCCTTGATGTTCAGATCTTTCAAGATGTCAGTATTTCTCCTCTTCTTTGTCCAAGATATACTGAGAATCTTTCTATAGCATTTCAGCTCAAATGCTCCTATTCTCTTTCTTAAGAACTGGGAGATAGTCCACGACTCACATCCGTATGTTTCTACAGGAAAAAATACATGCTGCAGTGAGTAGGGTTGTAATACCTCATTGTCTAAAGGGTGTTTAGATGTGTGTCATGAATGTTCTTGTCACACACTCTACGTTACATAACTGGTACAAGCCGACACCGACTTAGCCGTACGAAACATAAGTTTATTTACATGATATAACTTACATCAGAGTCCAGTCGTTGTCCTAATAACAGCTCTCGCACACCACTTCGAACAGCCTTCAATTCGCAGGTTCCTCACGCATTCACTGACCAGAGTCTGCCCTGATGCATCTCGTTGATCTTTGGAACATTCCACAGAATGGCCTGGCTGATCTTGACTTCACACGTCGTCGTCTAATTCTCCTTTCACCACAGCAATCTCACGTTGACATTCATACGCTCAGTCTCCCGTCCTTTCGGTCCAACAAGTCGACACAAACTTTATCAGAATCAAGTCTGACCTTATACCACGGGTTAGTTTCACGTGGCAGCATGTGGTGGTCCTTTACTTCCACGTGGCGACCTTTGGTCACGTCATCGTGATACACGTGATAACTCGTGGTCATCACTTATCTCAAGACCCTCGTTTAATCCGAGTATCTGGACTATCTCGGTGTTTTGGGTTATCCTTGGGCCTTCCTAATCTGGGTGAAAATATCCCCCATTGCACATGCTCTCAAAATTCTAATTTTGATCTCCTTGCTGGTGCTTTACCATAGACTTGTAAGACATTTATATATATGTATATATATATATATATATATATATATATATATATATATATATATATATATATATATATATATATATATATATATATATATATATATATATATATGATTTCACTGTCAGACAAATTTAATGTTGGTGCTTGCTCTGTGTAACAACTGAATATAATGATGCTAAAAATAAAAAGTTATTTTTAATTTTACAGAAATCCCCAGGTCACTGCTACACCATTGCCGACTGCGAATTCGAAGTGCACTGGGCCCTGAAAGATTGAAATTTCTGCCAACTTTGCGGATTCCAAAAGTTTTAATCAACTTTTTGAATTTTGAGTGAATGCCAGAGAACAAGGCATGAGAGGCTTATTTTCATAAGCAAATATTTAATAAATGTTGAGATAACTTATGATACTGATTTTATGTAAATAGTTTGATTTTTTATCTTGGCCTCCTCACTCCTTTTACTTCTTATCTGGAGTCTCGGTCAAGGGTGGTAAGCTATTTGCCTCATGCTTTGAAGGTGGTGCATCCAGTTTTGGACTTCGTCCTTCAGTTCACAAGTGCAGATGATTCGTGGATCCTGGGTAGTCATGGTTGGAGCTACAGAGTTTGTGCTTTGTACAGTGCTCTCGCAGGTGGGCATGCGCTCATTAGAGACAGATCAAACCATGTAGGATAAAACCTGGTGCAATAAAGTTGATCCTTTTTTCTTTGAATCACCGTTTAACTCGTTATCTAAGTCTTGCCATTTGTTGAACTTTTAATTTTGGTCAGGCCATTTATTGCACTTTGTATCTAAGCCATGCCATTTGTTCTACATTTGATTCTTCTTTTTCTTTCCCCCCCCCCCCCCCCCACCTTACCTCTCCCACCCCCCCCCCCCCCCCCCCCCCCCCCCAAAAAAAACCTCATACCAAGCCATATCCTTTGCTTGTCATGTGCAGCTCACCCCAATCTATAATTCTCCTCTTTATGTGTTTGTTTGCTTTGCCTTTATTCTTAGACCCTGTGGATTCCAGTGCAGGGAAATTCTAGTTGTTGTTATTGTTTGCATTCACCGGCTGTAGACCCCAGAGGAAAGACCGGGTTGTTCATCCATTTCTGGGCTTCAGCTTTGTTCCAGGTCCTGAGTTTTGCATGTGCATCCATTTTACACATCTTGCTTATTTGTATGCAGACTGTTGGTTCCTTGCCTCTCAGGCAGATGCACTCTGACTTTAAAGGAAGCCCCCAATTAGTAGACTTTTATGGCATGCTTGTTGGGGAGGCAGTGGGTCTTTTCTTGTTTTCCCCACAATTGGACCCCAGAACCCACACAGGGAGAAATTATAGTTAAATTGTTATCAAGTTCTTTTTAAAAGTGTCTTATCCACAACCACCAGCTTTTTCTCACTTCTTGATTCATATAGGCTTTGTATCTTGAGTGCCAGTACATCCACCTTTGTGATTATTCTCCGGTTATTTTTTTAATTTTTAATTTTTAATTAAGAAAACTTGTTTCCAGTTGTACAGTAAAAGATTGGAAGTTGTGAAAAATGGTTTCATTTTCATGGTTGTGTGTTTGCTCTTGTGTTTGCTCTTGTGTTTGCTCATGTGTTTGTTTGCTCTTGTGTTTGTGTAATTTCCTTCATCTTTTCTGTCACTGGAAACATAGGCATGCTAGATATGTTTGCCTAAGAACATAGGCACACTAGATGCCTAACAACATAGGCATGCTAGATGTGTTTGCCTAAGAACATAGGCACGCTGGATGCCTAACAACATAGGCATGCTAGAGGTGTTTGCCTAAGAACATAGGCACGCTGGATGCCTTACAACATAGGCATGTTGGATGTGTTTGCCTAAGAACATAGGCACACTGGATACCTAACAACATAGGCATGTTGGATGTGTTTGCCTAAGAACATAGGCATGCTGGATGCCTAACAACATAGGCATGTTGGATATGTTTGCATAAGAACATAGGCACGCTGGATGCCTAACAACATTATGCATGCTAAATGTGTTTGCAAGAACATAGGCACACTGGACACCTAACAACATAAGCATGCCACATGTCTAGAACATAGGCAGCCTGGTTGCCAACATTACCAGCACCACCAAGGTCTTACCCAGATTTACAGCCCAGGTGCTTGCCACTATCGACAAGGCATAAATCAGCCATCATCACATCAGGCACAAATGTCTTGACCAATTTTGACAAGCACTGTCTTCATTTAAAATAAACTAGGACATATTCTTCCTTTTATGGTTCATAAATCTACACAATGTACAGGCAAAGTATGGCCAACTGAGGCCCTACAAATTTTGAAATTTTCTTAGCACTGGGATATCTGCGGAGGTCAAGAGAAATTAAAACTAATACTAAACAAAATTGTCAAATGTCGTATCAAATCAATACTGCTGTATGAAGTGGAAGCACAGAGTACGACTAAAACAGGTGCTAAAAAATTTCTTCTTCTTTAGCATTCTGAACCTTGAGGTTCATTGCTGCAGATATCACCCGCATCCACTCATTTTCTTTTTCCAGTTGGTGATACCAAGTGTTTGCAGATCTGTTTGGACATTATCTCTCCATCGTCCTCGTGGTCTACGACCATTCATGTCCCCTGCGTATACAGTTTTCACTTCTCTGTCATCTGACATTGTCTCAATATGCCGCAACCATTTTAGTCTATTAGCTCTCATAAAGCCAGTGATCAATGGTGATTTAAACAGATTATGAATTTTGTTGTTGCTTCTCACTCTCCATTCCTCGCTGTTTGAATCTTTGATGGGTCCAAAGATTTGTCGTAAGACTCTGTTTTCGAAAACCTGTAATAAGGCTTCATCTCTTTTAGTCATGCTCCAGCTAATAAATTTTTTAAAAAATTTGCAGAATATAGGAAATTAAATGGAATGACACAATCACTAATGTTGAGCTTTGGAAAATAAATTACCAATTTCAAGCGGACGAAGAGTTGAAGAAAAGAAGCTGGCATTGGATAGGAGACACTAAGAAAACCGGACAGTATAACTAGAATGTCTTTGCACAGGAACCCACAGGGGCATAAAAATAAAGGCAGACACAAAAACACATGGAGAAAGGAGCCAGAGAGTGAAGTTGAAAAGATTTAGAGGACATGATTTGGGGAAAGAAGGCAGAAAAGAAGAAATATCATATCTCCTGAAAACAAAGAAATTAAATAATAAAAACAATAATATTAATAATAGAAACAAGTGATATATTTTTACAACATTGAAAGACAAATTTAGTTGTGTGTCCTTTATAGGATGTTACATATCCAGCTCTAGTACTTACTGGCTGCTTATGATATCACTAAGCAATTTTACATTCAGTAGTTTGCCATTGCTTACTGAATAGTAGGCTCTCGATACCACTGTTAAAACTAACAAAAAAGAATCTGATGCCAGACTGTCTGCAGCTGAGATCAAACCCAGCACCTCGGAGTTACAAAGCCATTCGCAATGCCTAAGCCACATAGCTAAAAGACATAACACTCTTATAAAAACCGTGCTGGAGGGAAAAATTAAAGGCATATGAGCAAGAGGTAGACAGTGATACAAGTGGGAGGTTAAGATCAAGAACATCAGTCTGAGAGTGTGTACAGCCAGTGTGAGAAACCAGTTGGAGACCCATTGCAGGCAGTCTTCATTGTAGAAATGACACCTGAGTGATTGGTAGTCATCCTTCCACACAAAAGCTTGCTGGCCAGTTCTACAAGTCCTGTGGTAGTCTTCCCTCCACACCAAAGCTTGCTGGCCAGTTCTACAATCCAGTCCTGTGGTAGTCTTCCCTCCACACCAAACCATGCTACCCAGTTCTACAAGTCCTGTGGTAGTCTTCCCTCCACACCAAACCATGCTACCCAGTTCTACAAGTCCTGTGGTAGTCTTCCCTCCACACCAAAGCTTGCTGGCCAGTTCTACAATTCAGTCCTGTGGTAGTCTTCCTTCCACACCAAAGCTTGCTGGCCAGTTCTACAATCCAGTCCTGTGGTAGTCTTCCTTCCACACCAAAGCTTGCTGGCCAGTTCTACAATCCAGTCCTGTGGTAGTCTTCCTTCCACACCAAAGCTTGCTGGCCAGTTCTACAATCCCGTCCTGTGGTAGTCTTCCTTCCACACCAAAGCTTGCTGGCCAGTTCTACAATCCAGTCCTGTGGTAGTCTTCCTTCCACACCAAAGCTTGCTGGCCAGTTCTACAATCCAGTCCTGTGGTAGTCTTCCTTCCACACCAAAGCTTGCTGGCCAGTTCTACAATTCAGTCCTGTGGTAGTCTTCCTTCCACACCAAAGCTTGCTGCCTAGTTCTACAATTTAGTCCAGATACCTCACTTCTAATGTAACATCATATGATGTAACTATAGACATTTTTACAAATTATTCCAAAAGGAAAAAGAGTTTAAAAATTTTATTTTTATTTCATGACAAATACAAAACAATTCTAAAGGCTGGTTGGTCTAAGTCACCCCTAGTGACATAAACAGATGAATATTGGACTATGTTGTTTGTATTTTTCAGTTGAAACAATTCATTTTTGCACTTCATTATATGTTCAAGCAATTTTTCTTAGTATGTTCCGTGGTAAGGTAAGCAAAATATACCAGGCAATCAGTTATCCAATATAGTTTTTGTGCTATCATTTTATATATAGAGTGTGTGAGTGCGCATGCGTGGGAGCGCATCTAAAATTAAAAACTTAAGTTTCGTAGTTTAGTTTCCATATCTTATGAAATCTAAAATGCAGTACTTACATGAAAAAGTTAGCTGCATTGCAAACAGATGTCAGCACTTATTGACTAATTGTGTTTTACTAGACAATTTTACGTTCAGTAGCTCCTGTGTGTCGTTCATTCCCAATTTGGAATAACAATTATTTTTATTATTTATTACAGTTATTATTTACATTAGTTGTGTAAACTTTATAAATTATGAAACTGTATGTTACATCCAGTATGCATCTTATTACATGTAAAGATGAAACATATGTTAATGCATGAATTAAGACATTACAACATTGGCAGTATAATAAAAAAAATATTTAAAAAAAATCTGTACATAAGATTGTGTAAGTTGCATGTGTCCCACATGAAAAACAAATTCATAATTAGATTAAAAACAGCTCAGTTAGATTAAACTTGCTGTTACAATAGCAATCATACACATTTTACACATTTGATGTCTTTGTGGCCAAGCAGTCAAATAATTTGCCTTGCTTTCTGAAGGTCACTGGTTTGGTTGTGGAATTCATCATTCACTTTGAGTGCAGATATTTGGTGAGATCCCCGGGGGTCGCTGCTGGAGCTAAAGAATTCATGCATATGCGACTCTTTTCT